CTGCGTGGTTTGCTGTTACCAGTCTTGGTTTGATTTCTGCTTGATGAACCTCAGCGATAAGTAGTATAAAAGCAGGAAGCTGCAAATGATACCAGTGAGGACGAGATAGCTTACATAGAGAGGGTGGGAGTCCAGGTACAGGGCCCGAGTGACCTGTAACCACAGATAACGCAAAATTAGGAACAGACACAAAATTTTCATGATGGATCTGTGAAGCGTGCTTTATGTGTGAGCTTCCCTGGCCCTGCTGCCTTTCCCCTTGGCTTCCAGCTGGACGTAGCTTTCAGAGTGGTTTGATAGCCACACTATGTCTAGTGGCTGCGGTATTTCAGAGGAAAACAGTTCAGCTTCTGAACAATTTCAGCAAGCACATAGCTGGGGCTTGTGTAGAAAATAGTTACCCTTTATTTATTTTTTTTTTCCCCCCTTCTTTTTTTCTCTTCCACTAAAAAGAAAGTCATAAAAGGAGTGACTGCTGTAGGGACGTCTGTAGGGACAAATTCAAAATATACGGAGTGTAATGCAACCACACATTGATTTAGTGCCTGCCAAATCTGAGGCCTACAACATCTACTTAAATATGACAGGCATATAAATAGCATTCTAATTGGTTATCACACATTTGTAACAGGTTTTATTAGTGACTTACAAGTTTCCCTGGTATTTGAAAAGTAGAATTTCCAACAATCATTTCATATGTGACGTCAGTGAACTGAATTTGCATCATGCCTTGAAAATTCCATCTGAGAAAAGAGATTTTAGAAACCCAAAATGGAACTGGGGAAAAAAAGGCAGAAAGAAAAAAATTATACACTTCATACACAAAACCTGAGACCTCAAAAACTGCTGTGTTGGTATTGCTGCCAAACACAGCAGGTTTGTCTAAGTTCTTGACAACTGGAGGCTGTAAACATATAACAGTTTATTATTGGACAAAATGGCAGATATACTTTATATTGTTACATGGAGATGGAAAATTAGGAGAGAGCTGATATCCATACCCATCAAACTCCCACTGTCAACTAAGTCTCACTGGAGCTCGGTCTTCATCTATTGAATATAATTCTTTTGTACTGAAAAATTTAGCAACCATGTAAGAATTGAGCCTCTCACTAGTGCTTTTTTTGACCGAACTTCTCATTACGTCCTTCTCAGATGGAGAAACTGGTGTAAAATCAACGATCTGACTCCCCCGTCACCACCCAAGAAGATTAATTGCAAAGGTAGGAATAAAGCTGAGTTTGCCTGTACAGGGCACACCCAGCCTCACAACAACCACTTGCTGAGGAAAGCCATCAATATTTCAGTTTGGAGGGATGGCGGGAGCTTTGTCATACCTGTCCAGAGGTTTTCCAGGCTTATCACAAAACCACCACTCAGGTAGAATGAAGTGAAAAGGACGTTGCCAAAGAAGGCTGAGAGTTGTAATGTTGGCAGCAGTGCTGCCACCCAAAGTGCCATCGCGCGGGCACTATATACAGCCAGCCACACCAAGAAGAAGTTCAGCAGTTTTAGCAGGAAATGTTCTGGTTCAGGAACGAGGTTTGCCAGCCAGTAGATGGGAACCCCATAAATTATAACAAAAGCACAGTGTTCTGGGAGCTCCCCCAGAATCTGTTCAGAAAAAAAAAAAGAGAAGAGAATAAGTTGAATTATAATTACAAAGCCACCTGAGATGTACCTTAATGAACTTACACTGTTTATAAAAACTGCAGGAAATACTCCCTTAGAATGCAATCATCCCCCGTTAGGTGTTGTCAGTGACATGCAAAAACAATCCACAATAGAAATTGAAATCCTCGCTAATTTTTTCTCCAGTTGTGACAATTCCTATAACTAATTGTTAAATTGAGAGGATTCTTGCTACAGATTAGATGTCTTGTTTTGTTACAGTTTTGGCAGCTTCTAAGAATTTAAGATACTTTCCCTGAGAGCTGGTGTGCTTGATAACAGTAATACTGTTACTGACTCGTGGCAACTCTATGTTTTGTCCAAATTTGGTTGAACCTAGTATGAGATCAAATCTGAGACAAATTTGGCTGTTAGTCACTTCCCCACTTTGTCCCAAAGGCAGTCCAGTTAGTAACTACTTAACTCACTGTAAAACAAAAACATGCTTAAGATTTTCTCAAATATCTAAAGATACGTATAGAGAGTATTATGATTATTTCTTCCGAAGAGGGTTGCTACTATCCTCTAATACTAAGGTTGTAACAAATTACATCGATTTCCCTATGAATAATGTGCAATCTTTGTGACACAATGCAAAGAATATTTGTCTCTGGCAACCACTAATAAGCATTTAAAATCTTGTGCAGAAATGGAAACCTAAATTACAGATGCCACGGCAGGCAGAACTCATCTAACAGTGGCAACATCACAAAGAAGGGATTATTCTAAACCCTTGTGAAAAAGAGAATGTAATGTTTTACAAGTTCTAAATTTATTTCCAGAAACTCTGGTTCTTTATGCACTTAATACAATTGTTTGTCTCTGACCAGTATAGGCCCAAACAGCTACTGAAAATGTCACAGTTAGCATTTTGTCATTTCTGTTCTACCTTTGCTTTAGCATTTAATATGAATATTTTGTTTTACAGATGAAGACATGTAATCAAAATTTCAAAAATGCTTCAGCAAATGAAATATGCAGGTATGTAAAACTGTCTAAACCCTTGAATTTGAGTTTGAGATTTCTCAAATTTTGGCCAAACAATCCAGTGAAAGATTCTTCTTTGGCTTTTCTGGGGTGGGATCTCAGCCATGAATTATGGCAATAGATTGAAAGTAGTGTGAGGTTTAATCCATTAACGCCAAGGAAACAAGAACAATAGCCTTAGCTGGCAGACACAAAGAACAAAGTCTGATGTGAATGTGATCATTTATACAACAAGGTTTTGGTTTGTTTGTGTTTCTTTTCTTAAAGCCAGCTGCTTGTATTTCCTGGCAACACAACCAATTACCTTAGCAAAGAAGTATGGGCTAACAGAATACATTCCATCTTCCAAGTCATGATAAAGCATAGCTCTTTCTGAATGACCTGCAGGGTAGGAACAAACAGGTTGGTTTCATGCTAGGTTGCATTAATAAGTACTTTTTTTTTCATTGATTTAGGAATTTTCTGATTTGAATGACCTGCAGGGTAGGAACAAACAGGTTGGTTTCATCCTAGGTTGCATTAATAAGTATAATTTTTTTAATTGATTTAGGAATTTTCTGATTTTGAGTGCTTATAACATTTACAAAAAAACTGACACTTACATTTGGCAATAACATCCAAAATCACTGTGAATGGGATTAGTGCACCTATCATGTACAACAGTGCTGTTGTGTCACGACAGGGTAGGAACAAACAGGTTGGTTTCATCCTAGGTTGCATTAATAAGTATAATTTTTTTAATTGATTTAGGAATTTTCTGATTTTGAGTGCTTATAACATTTACAAAAAAACTGACACTTACATTTGGCAATAACATCCAAAATCACTGTGAATGGGATTAGTGCACCTATCATGTACAACAGTGCTGTTGTGTCACGAATAGAGAGTCCGGTTTTCTCATGGCCATAGTACAAAAATCCAATTAATAATGACATGAGAAGGGCCTCAAATCCATGGATTAATAACGTTGAAAGATCTCTGAAGTCATTGGAGACTTGACGACTAGGAAAACAATAACATTGACCATAAGGTATAGTATTTATTAATGCCGGTTATATTCTGATACGTTGCCCAAAATGCTCTGCTAAAATCAATTTGTGGAACTTGCTGACTTTGAATAGGATGGGAGTTGGGCTGTCTGATTCTGTTTAAGGATTTTACCTAATCAAAGCTATTGAG